TCCCCGGCAACGTTGGGCGCTGCAAACACCGCATTTCCAGGTCGGCCAAAAAAAATTGTGTTGGAATATTCTAGAAGAAACTTGAAAATGGCCTTGAACAAGTTGCTAGGCAACAGAAAATTTCCCCAGCAACAGGTGTCCTTATAGGTCATGTGATCGACTGGGTCAGTGTAAATAAGCATGTGAATGAGTCAGCATTGGGTTTCTGGCCGGATGACAAAAATAAGAAAAGATTATGTTGCTTTATTTGTTCATTTATTTATTTATTAGTGACCAGTGTAAAGTTTTGTAAATAGTAAAGACTCTGAGAAAGAGAACCAAATGTTGTTTATTCCTGTAATGGAAATTTCACTAAGAGAGAGCTGGATTGCTGCTGCTGTAAAGAATTAAAAGATGCCAGAAAACTTTTCTGTTAACGGAACTCTGCTGCAGAAAGAAATGGAAACCCAAAAATATATGCTCACACACCAACACAGCTGTTGCAGAGGAAGAGAAGATGTCAAAGATGGAACACTAGCTTCACAGTGAAAAGCGGCTCTTGTATTAAAAGCTCTTTGGGACTCAATCCTGGGGGGGGGGGGGGGAGAGACGGTGCTTTTTGCCAGGGGAAAAAGCGCAGAGATTTCCCCAGGAACAGAAAGAGCGATGCTGCCGTCTCACACCTGAAGCCCTGCAGCTCTCAACTTCCTCTCGGAACTCCAAAGTCAAATATCATTAACAGCACATGCCAAAAGAACATGTTAATCCGAGGTGATGATATCAGAGAACTCTTTGGAAAATGAAACATCAAGCTTTCAGACATAGGGTATGTATTCAAGCGGGGCAGGGAAACATGCCAAACGGTATTGACATGAGAATGCTCCATTGGTCCGCTTCTGTCATTCAGAAGCGCCCTAGTACAGTGGTACCTCAGTTCTCAAACACCTTGGTTCTCAAATGCCGAAAACACAGAAGTGTTCTGGTTTTCGAACGTTTTTCGGAAGCCGAACATCTGATGTGGCTGTCGGCTATTGTTTCCGGGGCGTCTGCACCAATCAGAAGCCATGCCTTGGTTTTCAAACATTTCAAACAGACTTCTGGAATGGATTAAGTTTGGTGTTGTTGGTTTTTTGCTATTTATTTTGTGTTTTTGTTTTTGAGGCTTTTTCGGTTAATTTGTTTTTGTGACTGTGTGGAACCCAATTCAGCTACTGATTGTGTGACTGCAGAAATGGATAAAAGCTCCTCATCTAAACATTGACTATATTCAGTGCACGTAAGAAAAAAATATATAATTTTTTTTAATCATCTACAATACTTATTTTATAGTACATTGATTATTGCTTTCATTTTACGGCTCAGTGGTCTCATTAGACAGTAAAATTCATGTTAAATCGCTGTTTTAGGGGTTGTATTTGAAAGTCTGGAATGGATTAATCTGTTTTGCATTACTTTCTGTGGGAAAGCACACCTTGGTTTTGGAATGGACTTCCGGAATAGATTCAGTTTGAGAACCAAGGTACCACTGTACTTAAATTTATGGGCATTTTAGCAGTTTCAGGAAGGCTGGCTAGCATGATACAGATGCAACTCCCATCTCACATTCTGATATTATTCAGTTAATGGCAGCTCCATTAACTGATGGATTTGGGCTGCCATTTACCCAGCTTCCATATGGGCTACACAAGGGCGATCAAGATTCTCACGGGATGAAAAGCCGTTCTAAACAGGTAATCCGTATCATTTCTGCCATGGTTGAAAAAGCAGCTTGGGGAAGACTATTTTGAACAGGAAATGTCTGAAAGGCGATGATAGCTGCCTGTTACGTACCGTATTTTTCGCTCCATAGGGTGCACCGGACTATAGGGTGCACCTAGTTTTTAGGGGGGGGAAATAAAGGGGGAAAGTTTATTTTTTTTCCCCAGCCCCAAAGAGCAAAGAAGCCAAGACAGCGAGTGGGATCCACCCCAGCCCCCAGAACAGGTCCGGGAGCGGCAGCAAGGTTGTGCTCCGAAGGCTTGCGGATAGCTGCCTGAAGCCCGGGGAGCGCAGCGGGAGTTGGCACTGCGCTCCCCGGGTTTCAGGCTGCTATCCGCAAGCCTTCGGAGCGCGGGGGGAACTCCCGCGGGCTCCGAAGGCTTGCGGATAGCTGCCTGAAGCCTGGAGAGCGAGAGGGGCCGGTGTGCGACCCCTCTCGCTCTCCAGGCTTCAGCGAAAGCAACGCAAAGCCTCCGGAGCGCAGAAGGAGCGCTCCCTCTGTGCTTCGGAGGCTTCCCGTTGCTATCGCTGAAGCCAAGGAACCTGCATTCGCTCCATAGGACACACACACATTTCCCCTTCATTTTTGGAGGGGGGAAAGTGTGTCCTATAGAGCGAAAAATACGGTATGTCACTCCTACGTCAGGTAATCTGAGCTTGCTGCCATTGTGCTTTCTTTTTTATCATTCTCAGAGCCCGTCTAGTCCTAGGCGAAGGGGTGGTGGTGGTCAGGAATGCTTTCCAAGGACACTGAAGCAGCTAGCTGTCTCTTTCCTTGAGTTCCCTCTTTTAGCTGCTCCTCACCCAGTATTTCCCAGCTTTTCCCCTCTGGACTATGTCCCCCTGCAAACCACTGTTCTAAATCAATACTGTCCTGTCCTTGGGAAGGTTCAGGAAAAGGGGCTCCCGCTATTCCTCCTCAGTCCAGTCCCTGACAGAGGGGAATGAAGGCCAGCCAGAGCGGTGGGATGGGAGAAGCAAAGGAGAAAAGCTCCCGACAACCCCCTTTTCCTTCAAGCCCCCAAGCTTTTGATGGAGCAACGCAGGGACACTTGCAGCAACATTTCCACTTTATCCGAGGATAGATGCTTGGAGTCTGCCTTCAAACTCTGCGCCCTGTGCTGCCAAGTACAGCAGTTCTTTCCAAAGATATCAGAACAAAAGGAATGAGGAGGTGGAAGGGGAACCAAAACAGTTTTATTAACAAGTAAACAGCAGGGTATCAAACATACCCGACAGGGGCTACCCAATCTCCCCTTCAGCTGCCCGGAGCCCCAGGTAGAGCAGCAGGAGAAAGACCCCGACCGTCGGTCTCCCAGCATCAGGTCCTTTGATCTGGGTAGAAGCTCTCTGGGCCCCTCCCACCTATGGCTTTTATAGCCTGCCTTGATGTAACCAAGTGCACTGGGCATTACTCATGATTAGCCCAGGACCCTGAGATGGAATTAATACAGAGCGGCTGAGAGTCTCCCACTACATGCAACTGGGCATCCAGCCAGAACTTGCAACACAGAAGAACCCAGGAAACTCCCGACAGGTGTGTGAAACACAGGAATCCAGCAGACCTCAAACTGGGGATGTTAAAGGGAAAGGGACATGCCACCTAACTCCTTGAAATAAAAGTGTCTTCCGCATTTCCACCCAGTTAAGTCCTTCAAGCTATTTATCTTTCAGACCCCTGCAGAGGTCTGGAGAAGTCTGCTCCCCTTGCCTAGGGGGCGGTGTTGCAGACTGGCATCCGGGACCTTCAATTAGTCAGATTGGGGGCAGGGGGATGCTGCCCAAGTCATGGGGATTCCTGGCCGTGTACCACCCCTGCCGGATGTTTAAACTGTGGCGTGGCCGGGGGGCATCCTCCTTTTGAGTCTTTGCTGGATCTCACAGCCCACCCACCCTCTTTTTACACATTGCTATGATAGCGACCTTGCTATGGACATATGTCAGCCACCATATTGTTGGGGCCAGGTAGGAATTTTTCCACTTGGCATATTGGCACCAGCCACTTGGTTTTTGCCTACCTTGTAGCAATCGTCACAACTTTGTAAGGTTAGGCATTGGGTAAGCCTTTGTGGTGGGACGGGAGGTTGTAGCCTCCACCTGCCCCTCCTCAATAAGGGCATCTTGTTAAAAGGATCTGGGGGTGTGGATCTTGTCCAAAGACTGGGCGTGGGCTAGGGCCATGCCACGACCCATCAGGGACCCTGGGGGTGCCCTGATTTGATGTATGTCACAGGGCTCCCCCTACAGTTGGTTTACCCTTAGTGTGACTCCCTGTAGTCTGGTTTCACCCAGTGCCTAAGCTAAACTGCTCACATCTGTAACCAATAAAGTTGTGGTCTGTTTTTTTGCCCATTAACCTTAATCATCTGTGTCTATTTATTGCTCCCTTTCCCTTATGGGTTATCCAAGAGCCCTTAAGTGGGTTCCCTATCAGTAGGAGAAAATTACAGAGGCCAACCAGAGAATATTGAGAAGCAAAGCAGCTAATAAGCCTGATCTTTATTAATCTGTTGCAACGGGGCCCAGGGCCTTGCCATGCAAGTGGGGGGGGGGCTGAATTGGAAGGCATGTTCCCACCTGTCCTTCTCCTTCAGTGCCCGGCCCCATCTCCTTCAAACCCCAGTGAGGATTGAAAGCCTTCTGTCATCACCCCTGCAAGGGGTACTTCACAAAGGGGCACTTTGAAAGCTCTGTATTTTGCTATAAATTCCTGGTAATCAGGGCTTCAAATAATATAAGGTAATTGATCGGTGGATAGCCCCATGCACCTGTCATCTCTGGCCTTTTACAGGTGGGAAATAAAGATCTCGACTGCCAGCCTGAAAAGATTTGAGCCACTGCTATAAGGATGGAGGGGTGGATTTGGGGTGAGCTCTAAGGGGAGGAATAGGGGCTGCCAGGATCTAAGCAAAGTTGGCAAGCAATATGTGGAGTAGAGGCAGCCCCTATTTTTACACATTCCCTTTTCTTGAAGTTCTGCATCAGTAGCTCTTTGGGGATTGGAGTGAGCCGTCGACATCCGACTTTGGAGATTCATAACATTTCAACGGTAAGTGGGATTCAAGGGCAAAGGGGGTTATTGGGTTGTTGTTTTTATTTTTATTATGTATTTTGTGGTTTTCTATCCTGATTTTCTTCTGTGAACCACCCTGAGACCCCCGGGTATAGGGCAGTATATAAATTAAATAAATAAATAATAAAAATTCGCCATACAAATTTTTTGCGGCTTTCAAATGGTTAGAAATAAAACTGTAATCACGACGTCAAAAGAAAAGAAAGATAGGCTTTATTTGTGAGTTTCTGTAACACAATACAAAAAGATTGTAGAGCTATTCCAACACCATACCAAACCTATTCTACAGCAAGGTATTTGTGTTGCTCAAATTCCAAAAAAAAAAAACAAAAAAACCACACCCCACAACCCCAATTCAATTTTTGTCTTTTATATTTGCATGGTCCAACAAAGATTACACACCTTTAGTACGTGTAACGACGCAGGGTGCCAAGGGCTGAAACAAGCTATGGCAATGCCTTTTGATCGAGAGTAGCTTAAATAACATTGAGTAAAACAAAGTGCCCTAGGAATACATAGTGGCGAAAAAGAAAAGCTTTTACATCAGTAGTTGTTTTCAGTTCCATTTGTTGGATCATAGTCACAATAGTTCTTTGAATTTAACAGATCTAGTACTGGGAACCCAGCATATTGTTGAGAACCAATAGTGGAACATTTTACTAACATGCTCAGCGGTGGTAACCTAAAAGACCTAACTTATTACTTATCAGCTTTAGGTTTCAGATGCACCATGGAGATGAAATGAGATGCTGCAAACTAAAGAAAACATAAACAATTAGACTTAATACATCTTTCTCTGTTCCCATTATGGCTGGAAATAATCTAGCAATGGAAAGTTAAATTGTCTACATTGAGAGGGGGCAGGGGAAAGAGAAAGATTTCTTTGCAATTTTTATCTTTCAATGACACTTCAACTATAAATTGGCTCACACAAAATGTTCCTTTGGAACAGAAAGATGACACTTCTAGGGTGAAAACATTAGTTGAAACTGTTGATGGGAAATAATTTGATTTATTTCTGTTTAATACTGTTTCTTGTTATGAACATTATCCCTTGCATTAACATTAAATCAGGTTTTTTTTTAAAAAAAATCTGAATAATTTCAACAGTTTACACACTAGTTTAAGATTACTTTTCTAGCCTATCTCTGGTGGAGAAACTGACATTATCTAAATATTGTTCTTCTTCATAAAAAACAGTGCTTCTAAAGCAGACATAATGGGGGGGCATTGACAAAACTACAAGGGTCAAAAATATTATATTTCTGCACTGTTATTCTAAAGCACTAGAAAACGTAACTACATTATTTTAAAATAGAGATACAACTTAATGAAATGTGGGGTATATGTGCCAAGTTATTAGCAATGCAAAAGACCAGCTTAAGCATATTTTCCCTAAATCAATTACAAAAAGAAAAGGTGCCTTTTTAACAAGTACGCACAAAGATTGATCAAACATTGTTCTTATTCCATGTTACAAGTGCTACTTGTTTATAAAACTGAAACCTTCTCTTGCATTTAAAATGTACAGCATACACTACGTTTTGCCTTTTCTCTTACCCACTCATTCAATCCATTTTGACAAAAATAAACCATTTAACGCACATGTTTATGGAACAATTGCTGATATGTTATGCATTATTACTTGCATAGAGCAGAAACTTTACTCGGAATTGCTAACCGTGAGTCTCAATCGTGCCCATCGTTTGGCAAGCGCCGGTGCCAAAAATCACATTTTGTGGCACATAACCTTTAGCCATATTTATCCAGGAATTCCCAGACATTCAAAACAACTCCTGTATTATACTTCCATTACCAGCAATGGAGTAAGTATTTTGCCTTGGCTTTCCCAAATCAATCCAGCACTGTAATCGGATATGCTCTAAGACCGCATCTCTCCTTACATGTGTAAAGAAAAACCAGCAACGCATTGGTTTCTTTTCTTTTCCAGAGTAACTAGTAACTCAGATGACGTGGCTAAGTGAGTATTTGGTAGGTTGTACAGTCTTGGCTGCATGTCAACTATGCAAGCTGAGCTAGTGGAAAAAAAATTGCCGTCCATTGTAGGAACAACAACACAGCTGGCACAAGAATCGTTCTCAAGCTTGTACCTTTGAGCCAGTACAGGTTTGGCATTTCATTCTCTAAACATTAATTGCAATGGAAAAACTGACAGGGTCTTCCAAGCCTGGCACCTATCCATCTGCCACGAGTGTATACAAACCATAGTTTGATTCTCCTGGTTTAATGTACAGCAAAATGTTTACTGAATGCAGATGGTGAAGTAGAAGAAAAGGGATCACTAGATCCTAGTTCTCCGTAAGAGCTCCGCTGTGCTCCAGAATGGGCCTCTGGTGTCATTCGCTGCTTTCGTCTTTCTCTGAAGATGCAGGACTATCGCGAACAGGCAGCAGGTCATAATGAGAGGGGATGTGGCTGTTTTTTGGCAGATCGTAAAGATCTTGGCTGAAAGGTCCCTTGTTATTAAACGTTCCCTGGATAACGCTGACTGTAGGTTCTGCAATAATAAAAACATACAAACACGTTGGCGCTCCGATATTGGATGAACAATCACAACGTTTAATGAAAATTAACCTAGTAGTCCCATTGTGGTTTTCTGTACTTTAAAAGCCTTCAATATTTTTGATACAACAATCTTCAGTCACATTAAAGAAGACTGTGAAATAACTGTAACTCAGAACATATTCATGAAAATGCAAGCTAACTACAAAATTAAACATACCCTAGTATGTACCGTATATGGATGAAGGGCAAGGGGCTAGAAAAGAAATACTGCTCATCTATTACGCACTTTGAGCTTATGTCTGCTTTTCAGTTCAGCCACCCTTTGTAAAATACATATTATTTTTAACTTGAGAAACGCTTCCAGGATGTGCATTTGTGTCTACAATGATGGCAAAACACTCCGTCAGGACTCACCAACTTCATAGACATTCTTGTTGGTGGAAGCAGAGTTGCTAATTTCTGCATAGGCAGAATCCCTTCGTGCTGGAGACTTCATTTCAACATATCCACATTCTGTATGTTTTGGTGTCAGTGCTGGTGGGTCTTTAATAGTGGCATAAGGATTTTCAGAACTGCTTAAGGAGCAGTTACTTAAATTGTATTCAGAATTCTTTACTAGATCTGAGAAAACAGAAAAATAATGTTTTAATTGTTCTCTTCAAAGAATAATATATTTTAATGACAAAATTAAGCAAAATGCATATGATCTTTAAAAATCAAATGATCTTTTTGCTTTTTGGCATGTCTCCTTTGACATTTTCGGATTTCATATTTTAACACAGTGAAACAAACCAATGAACAAAATGATATCCACAACGCTCCTTTTCAAGTACCAATTTATTGCTCTTCTAACCCAGTCTATCGTGGAGCTCATGGTGAGCTCACATGCAGGACTGATCAGGCCCATGGGCTGCTTAAGCTGCAACATAAGATGCCCCAAGACCATTCTCTGAGCCCCAATATATTTAGATCTGTAAGAAAACTCACCTTTCAGAGATTTCCCCGTACAGCCTCTATCGATTCCAAAAGCTCCTGTAAAATATTGAGAGGCATGACGGCATTAAATTGGGATAAAACAGCAGCATTAAATTCCCAAAACAGTCATTTTAAAAATCTATTGCAATTTAGTCTTTTCATTTTTAATGCACAAGTTTGTTGGTCACTGTTGCCACCCTAAGGTCTGTATAACTGCGTATATTAAGAGCCTGCATTGATATGCCTGTATATCAGTCAAATTCCCAGAAGCCATACTCTTGGGGAGATAGCTGGAAAACATCACCATATTCTCCTTGCAAAGAGAGATGGAAATGACACATGTTGTCCCCCCCCCTAAAATACATATTGTGATGCACAAAACTGGCATTATTATTATTATTATTATTTTATTATTATTTCTGTACCAAGCTCATTGAGGTAGCCTCCATGCTTCCAGTCAGCAGGTAGGGTTCCTGTGTAGTCCACAACAGGGCCTCGCTTTCCAGAATCCACATTTTTAAGATTCACAAACAGCTGGTTGTTGTTTGACTGTTTCAAATAAAGACAGAAGGCAGAGAATGAAGATGGCAACGGCTCAGCAACATTTGTCATAGAGAGAGCAACTGTAGTGCAAATAAAAAGATATGGTGTTTTATACATGTAAAGGTAAGGTAAAGGACAGTTAAGTCCAGTCAAAGGCGACTCTGGGGTTGCGGTGCTCATCTCGCTTTCAGGCCGAGGGAGCCAGCATTTGTCCACAAACAGCTTTCTGGGTCATGTGGCCAGCATGACTAAACCGCTTCTGGCGCAACGGAACACCATGACGGAATCCAGAGTACACAGAAATGCCATTTACCTTCCCGCCGCAGAGGTACCCATTTATCCACTTGCACTGGTGTGCTTTCGAACTGCTAGGTTGGCAGGAGCTGGGACAGAGCAACGGGAGCTCACCCCGTCATGGGGATTCGAACCGCCGACCTTCTGATCGGCAAGTCCAAGAGGTTCAGTGACTTAGACCACAGCGCCACCCGCGTCCCCTAACCTTTTATAAATGTAACATACCAGGAACAACATTCCCTAAGTATGTAGCTAATCTATATTTTTACCTTTGCCAGAGTCATCCTGTCCATGTTGTTGGCATTCACTTGGTTTGAACACTGCGTTAGAGTGTGATAGCTTGGGTTGGAGAAGTAATGGCTGTTAGCATTGCCACCATTACTGTGAGGCATCGTCTCTGTGAAAGGAATGAAAAAGTGAGTGCTGCGTCATTGCTCATCCTTGGCCTTACGCAACTATGCTGAAGAACAAGCCAACAGTTCGCCTAGAATTAAAATACAATATGGATTTATATGATCAATACAGATTGTTCTTCTGTTCCTAAAATGCATTTTCTTCTATATGATACAATCCCACTGCCTTTCAGATTTTGACTGATAGGAATCTCCTGTCTTTCTTGCGTCTCTCTATGTTATATCTTCTCTCTTTCTCCTCCAGAGTGATTCTCTGATAAGCATCTTGATGGGTACAGTCCTTGGCTAGCCATGTTTGACAGCGTCTATTGTAGCCAAAAACCATGGGCAAACTTGGCGAAAACATTTTTTAGAATCATAGGGTTGAAAGGAACCACGAGGATCATCTAAGTCCAACCTCCTGCAGTGCAGGAATCCTTGGCCAGTCGTAGGTTTCGAACCCACAACCCTGGGATTAAGAGCCTCGTGTTCTAGTGAGCGACCTATCCCTTGGAGAGACTAGCGCTGAAAGGCGGCATATACGGTAAATAGTTTGATTAACAAAAGTATTTATGTTGTGAACTGCACTGAGATGTATGGGTATAGAGCGGTATACAAATTTAATAATAAAACAAAATAAAAATAAACAGATAAGGGGTGCTGCTTGTATAAAGTCTTTGCTATAGGCACTGTGTCACTACAGAAATTGCTGACATAGTAAAGTGTTACTAATCACCCGCAAGTGAATGAAAATACACAGCATATGAACTTGATAAAGCTAAAAGAGGATAAACAGTTCTGAAAGTCAGAGAAAACGTGCTGTTTGCTAAAGTATGCACTCAGCATAGACAGGATTAAGCTTTGTATCACTGTGTTCCTACCTGAAATACTGTAGTCTGTATTGATGACCCTCATGGCAGGAGTATAGGTAACTGCAGGCATATTTGTTTCCTTCCCCTTCTGCTTTTGCCTATAAATGATGAATAGTGCTAGCAGGAAGAGGACGACAAGGACAAGAATAATTATGCCAGCGATGGCTCCAATCTGGTAAGAATCAGCAGGGATGGCAGCGCTAGTGCGGCTTAAGCTGTTCAAATTTCCCACTATAATTACTCCAGCTGGGAAAGAAGAAAGACAAGATGCATGTAAGACGTAGTTTTAACTTCAGTGCTTACTCAGTATGTTCAATGGGGCTTACTCCATATTAATACACTAAATGTAGTGCCACATCCTCTAAGCAAAAAGTGAACACTCGTTAAATAAAATGCAGACGATTTCCACACAATTTGATGAAGTGCAAGTGCCACAGATAAGATCGAGCAAAATGATCCACACAGAAACATGAACTTTGGGAGCCAAATTACCACTCCACTTTGTCAGGCAGCCTAGAATACTGCACATTTCTAGGAGCAGGTAGGAAGGAAGTACCTAAGACTGCAAGTCGAAACATACCTACAACCATTTGTGCATTAACCAGCACTGATATGTTCTGTCGCTACTTGCAATGTTTGCAAAGAAGAAGGAAATAACATCGGAGACGCATATAATAGTGGGGGAAAGATAGATGCACTGAGTATGCATCAGAGGATCGCCAAAGCATGTGCCATCAGGACACATCATCAAAGCTAGAAGTCAGGTCATTCGTTATTCAGATCTAGATACCCCCCCCCACACACACACACATTACTTTGTCATGCTTGCGCTCTTGGGTTGGGGCAACTGGCTAAAATGTTTCAAACGGCTCTAATTTTCGTTCCTCTGCTTTGTTTTTGTTGGGTTGGTGTTGGTTAAATGTTTAGTTGGCGTTGGTGGTTATTTTAATTTGGGTATATCTGTAAACTGTTTATTATTGTTATTGTTGTTGGTTTCTATTGATGTATTGGTTTGTTTGTTTCTTGTAGAGGATATTTTGTTTTTTAATGTTTGATGCTTTGTTGTGTTCTTATATATGCTGTAAGCCGCCTAGAGTGGCTGGGGAAACCCATCAAGATGGGTGGGATATAAATTTTAAAATATGTATTATTATTATTAATTACAACCAGCAGCAATCAGCAGGGTGGTGAAAGGGGTGATGGTGTTCCTCACCTGTCTTCCTAAAGCCAACTGGCACTGCAAGTTACTGAGAGAGAGACAGGTGAGATGGCAGGGCACAGGTACGCTAGAAGGGGCACGCCAGCAGGATTTTTGGATTAGCTCTGCTGCCATGCTGTATTCTCGGTAACCAGCAGCGGCACTCAACATTGGGAAGTCAGGTGAACAATGCTATGCCCTTGACCACAACTGCCCACAACTCAATCCTATACATGCCTACACAGAAATTAAGTTTCTCTGGGCTGCATTCAATTAAGGTTTACTTGGAGCACTGAAATTAATGTACATTGCTAAATTAGGCCCATTAATTCCAGTGGAGCTACTCTGAATAAAGGTAAGGTAAAAAGGTAAAGACCCCTGGATGGTTAAGTCCAGTCAAAGGTGACTATGGGGTTGCTGCACTCATCTCGCTTTCAAGCCAAAGGAGCTGGCATTTGTCCACTGACAGGTTTCCGGGTCATGTGGCCAGCACGACTAAACCACTTCTGGCGCAACAGGACACCGTGACGAAAGCCTGAGCACACGGAAACGGCGTTTACCTTCCTGCCACAGCGGTACCTATTTATCTACTTGCACTGGTGTGCTTTCGAACTGCTAGGTTGGCAAGAGCTGGGACAGAGCAACAGGAGCTCACACGATCACATGGATTTGAACCGCCGACCTTCTGATCGACAAGCCTGCTGAGTTCAGTGGATGAAGAGTTTGGATTTGATATCCCGCCTTTCACTCCCCTTCAGGAGTCTCAAAGCGGCTAACATTCTCCTTTCCCTTCCTCCCCCACAACAAACACTCTGTGAGGTGAGTGGGGCTGAGAGACTTCAAAGAAGTGTGACTGGCCCAAGGTCACCCAGCAACTGCATGTGGAGGAGCGGAGATGCGAACCCGGTTCCCCAGATTACGAGACTACCGCTCTTAACCACTACACCACACTGGCTCTTGCCAGGGAGTAAGTGGGACTTACTCCCTGGTAACTGGGTACAGAATTGTGGCCTTAAGGTATAGGTAAGCCATGTTAGAACAGCGGGACTTGCTTCTGACTAAATATGTATCTGATTGCACTGTTAGGCTGAAGTCCTGATCATACTTGCAATTAAGCAGTGGGACTTGTGTCTGTGTAAATATGCAAATAATTGCCCTATAATGGCATATTGCAGCACCATAGCATGACCACTTGCAGTGTTCGAAACTCTCATTGTTCCAGACGCATTTTGCGACAGGGAATTTCTTTGGTGCGGGCCGTTTCTGAGCTCTGAGTGCAGTACTGCACCTAAGATTTCAGATTAAAACTGCACAAAGGAGGAACTTTTTCTGCCTCCCCACTTCCAGCTACTATCTGAAGACTGGAGAAGAGACCCTCTTAAGGATATTAGGGGGTGGGCAGGGGAAGGACTAGACCGTGTGAAAAATGAATCTAAGATTTTAGCTGCAGTTCATTCATTTTCAGCTTTGTATTCTTGCTATTTAAAAAGTGCACCTAGACATTCCATTGTTGCGCCCATAACCTAGGTTTAAGCTGCCATTTAGTGCCTAGCTTTCATATCTCAGTTTCTAACACTGACCACTTGTCTAATTAGGGTACTCCAGTAGAAGAAATACCCTATTTTTCCCTTCTCAGATTTTTATTTCTTTTTGGTGGGGACGGGGAAGTTAGGCGTGGCATTTTTGTCATCATTTTGCAATTCTTCTTGCAGCCCTGCATAAATACCAGCATTTCAAAGCTCATTTTTATTTTGGCATTATAGGAAAATATTACCTTGGTCACATCTTGCTCCTTTCCACCCAGGGCTGCAGTAGCAGGTTCCTGTGATGTGGTCACAAGTTGAGTTGTTCAAACAGTCACAAATTTGCCGGCAGCCATAACCGTATGTACCTGAGGGGCATTCTGTAAAAAAGAATAACGAAGTATGAACTGCAGCTTCCCACCCACCCCTTTTAGCCTATTCCAGTTTGTGCTCAGCTGAAATCTCTCAGTGACGGTAACCATGATTTAGTAAATCAGAACTGTGTGTAACTGAGATCTTTAATTGGTTAGCAATGGAAAATGAGGCGGCAGCACACCATACGATTAAAGAGCATTGCTGCAACACATCAAACAATTTTATCTCCAGGTGTTCTGCAGTTTTCTAGAGAAAGGCCAATGAATAAGGCATTAAATGTATTATGATTTAATGTAATATGCTTATGGAATAAATTGTTTTTATCTTATTTTATTAATGAAACTTTTAGATGTTCCCAAATTAGGATGCAGCCATCATATTATATAACACTAGAATTAATTTTCCATTGTTGCTCTTCTGAAAGTCTGGCTTGTATAGAATTAAAAACTCTACAATTTGCCATTTTCAAACTCCCTACTGTACTTTTTATAGTTCACTGCAAGAAATCTTGTAGATTTCACAGGCTATCCCTAGGTGGCAGTGTTTCATTGTGCAAGTTGAAGAAAAATCAGCCCCAATCGATGTGTTTAAAATATGTTCACAAATGCATATCAAGTATGATTGAAGCATATAGGCTTAAAGAGGTTCCATTTATTCAGTAACAGAGGGAAGCTGACACTGTGCTGCTTAGAAAGCACCACTCAAATCCAGAGAGTTAGACGGCTAAGAAACCAGACAGATGGGAAGCTCACAGAACAAAAACAACTTCTTCAGTTTTTCTTGTGGTGCCACCTATTTTACAAGTTATGCCTAGGTAGATATGTTTTATTCAGATTGAAGTTCAGTCTCCTGGCTATTAACTGTAAACATTTTGTACCCCCGAAATGCACATTTTAAAAGAAAAAAAGTAGCATAATTATAGTGAATTGCTTCCTCTTTGCAGTGTGTTAAAAATTATTATTCTCAGAACAATGAAACACAAGTACGTAACTCGTTGAAAAAGGATGTTAGAAGACCAGTGGTCTTCTAGAAGTTCTTAAAATGCTGAACACAATCTACTAAGACACTGCTGCAAGGAGCCCTACATACATGCCATATATTTAAAGCACATGACTTTCCCCCCAAAAGAGTCTCAGGATCTGCAGTTTCTAAATGGTAGAAATGGTAGCTATGTGAGGGGTAAACTACAGTTGCCAGGATTTTTGTGTGCTTTAAATGTATTATCTGATTTAAATGTATGGTGTGCAGATAGGCTGGGTTCCGCTGGAGTAGAAGAAGCCTCCAGCCCAATCTTATACATGTAAGCTCTATTTGCTTTGATGGTATTTACTTCCCTGTGACTCTGGTTAGAGTTGCAGCCTCAAGCATTTCACTATCTATTTTTATTGATTGATTGAATTTATATACCACCCTATACCCAGAGGTCTCAGGGCGGTTCACAGAACAAAATCAAAATAATAAACCCACAAAATACAGTATCACAACAAAAACAATAACCCAATCCAATCAACTAAAGGCCTGGTTAAAAAGGAACGTTTTTGCCTGGCACCTAAAGGTGCATAATGAAGGCACCAGGCAAACTTCCCTGAGGAGAGCATTCCACAGATGGGGAGCCACTGCAGAGAAGGCCCCGTTCTCGTGTTGCCACCCTCCAGACCTATCTACTTTTAGTTTCATTGATTTCAAGGGAGATGGGGGGAAATAAGCAAAGTCACCAAGGCCCTCCACCAAATCTGTGAACTGCAGGAGCCCTGCAAGGCAAAGCCTTGACTCAACCACTTACTATGCATTCAATTTCACTTAACTCAATATGTGTAACACCGAGTTGCAAGCCTATACTATGGATGTGTCTTACAGAAAACCTCCACTAGCTGTCAATATGGAATTTTCACAGTCTTGGCTTTATCTTGAGTATGAAAATCAGCTTTGTAAGATCTAATCCACTTATACATTTCCCCTTCACAATATGCAAGGACCTTGTTGCCAACATACTCTGTTCACAGTGTTTTCCCATGAATCCTGTGCGACATGTACACTGCCCTGAGATGTGATCACAGTCGGCTCCATTCTGACACTGGCAGATTAATGCACAGTCCTTTCCATAAAACCCCAAAGGACATCCTGTAGGAGAAAGGAAGAGAGAGAGAAAAAATAAAACACCCTATACTTAAAACTAGCTTTGCGGCTTTTTAATAATATATTGAATGTTACCATAACTGACACACAGAATTTATACTTCCCAATTCATTTGCCAAACAAGATATGAAGCCTGAAAGTGATTATGTGAATAATATTGGTCACATTACTTAGAAAGTAGCGGGACTTACAGTGCAAATTTAGTGGGAAGCAAGGCCTACTGAGTTTAAAGGTGCTTAGCCCCAGGTAAGTATACATAATACAGTGCTGTGATTCTTACTACTTTCTTAGACTTTCAATGTAATGCCAGTGGGATTTCAAGTAAGAAGAGAAAGGGACGACTTTTCAGTACAGTGGTACCTCAGTTTATCAACTTAATCTGTTCCGGAAGTCCGTTCTTAAACTGAAACCATTCTTAAACTGAGGTGTGCTTTCCCTAATGAGGCCTCCCACCTCCGGTGCCCTTCCACTGTTCCGATTCTGTTCTTAGACCGAGGTAAAGTTTGCAAACTGGGACATTACTTTTGGTTTTCCGGAGTTCGTAAACCGAATCGTTCATAAACAGGACTGTTCTTAAACCAAGGTATCACTGTAATGCCATTCTTTGGACATACAGTGGAACCTCAGGTTACAGACGCTTCAGGTTACAGACTCCGCTAACCCAGAAATAGTACCTCGGGTTAAGAACTTTGCTTCAGGATGAGAACAGAAATCATGCGGCGGCGGCGTGGCAGCAGCAGGAGGCCCCATTAGCTAAAGTGGTACCTCAGATTAAGAACAGTTTTAGGTTAAGAATGGACCTCCAGAACAAATTAAGTTCTTAACCTGAGGTACCACTGTATATCTTACAGAGAATTCCGGAGCACAAGACCGAGGAGGGGATCCCACACAAATATTCCATTTCAATCTGAAGATTTATTATTCACAGAGATGCTAGACTCAGCCAATTTCTATTTTGTGCCAATTTGTTCTGTCCCACTTTTGTTATTTGGTGGACTTTTAAAAATTACAGAAATGCACAAAGAATAGCATTTAGATTATACTCATCTTTTCCTAAAATATGCACTTTGTGTGTCTCCTAAAATATACATTTTTCTACAAATTGATCTGCTAAATAGCATATTTATGTTCATTTCTTTAGAACTGAAACTGCATTGCAAAATTTGGAGAAGTGCACAATCTGACAGCGACATTCCTGTCCGCATACAATTAGGCAAATTAGGTCAGTTTGCTTCAAATTGTTGCCCAAGTGAATTCCCCCCCATCCCTAATTACACATAGAGAGATCGTCATTCAAAACCAGCAAGCAAAAAAATCCCAAGCACTGATGGTTCAAGCAGCACAGAGCAACCATATGGCTCTGCAATAAATACATGGGCTTCTTCCCAACATTATTGAGAGTTTGTGTGCTTCAAAAAGTGAAGTCATGCCATTATTACAAGCGTGGGTGAAGGGGACTCAGCGGCCAAGATCTTTTGGAAAAATATGCTGACATGCAAAACAATCTTCATTCTCAATGGTGCGAGGGGACTTCCATTTATTTAAATTTATATACTGCTTAATTGCAGGAAAAGGCTTCAAAGCAGTTGATGAAAAAGACAGAGCAGTAGAATTACTACTTTAAAAATCACAACTGTAATTTAAAACATAAAGAAGGGTGGTATACTGGTGGTATTTGACTCCTGCCAAGTTGGCAAATATGTATAGACAAGTACAAATACCTGCTGGAAATGTAAAGAAAAAGAAGGTACCTTTTATCATGTGTGGTGGACTTGTAACAAAAGCTTTCTGAGAGATGATATATAATGAAACGGGGGGGGGGGGGATGCTTAAAATAACCTTTGTTAAGAAGCCAGAAGCTTTTCTATTAGGAATTACAGGTACTGACATTCCAAAGGAACAGAAAAGACTCTTTATGTATGGAACAACAGCAGCCCTGATGTTACTAGCCCAGAGATGGGAAGAATACAAAGTCCCTACCACAGAGGAGTGGCAAATTGAGCTGATGGACTATGCAGAGATGGAAAAACTGACTGGAAAACTCAGAAATCAAGAGAAAAATAACTTTACAAAAGAATGGGGGGAAATTATAAGTTATATAGGAGACCACTGAAAGCGGATGGAAACATTAGCAGGATTTTGATCTCACTTGTAGTATAACAATTACCATGGATAATATGGTTTGGTATAAAAATTGGAGTATGGAAGAATATGCAATAATAAAATGTTTAAAACGGGACTCCATGGAGGGGTTGGGAGGAAGTCCTGAGATTCAGAGGATTCTCTTTTTATGGATATGTTTTTTGATTCTTTGTGTAAAACTTTGTATTTGTAAAACCAAATAAAAATGATTTCAAAAATAAATAAAACAAAAACATAAAGAAGGTTAAAACCGCAATAAAATAGACTAAAATAAATGAAAACTACTACAAGCTTTCTAAACATCTGGGCAGGCTGGTCTAAATAAGAATGTCTTCTGCAGGTCAAAAGGAAAACAGTGAAGACGCCTGGCTGGTATCAATAGGAACAGCAAATGTTCCAAAGGCAAACTGTGCTTGCTGACAGAATGAAATACTGTGTACAGTGGTACCTTGGGTTACAGACGCTTCAGGTTACAGACCCCGCTAACCCAGAAATAGTACCTCGGGTTAAGAACTTTGCTTCAGGATGAGAACAGAAATCACGCAGTGTCGGCAGCGGGAGGCCCCATTAGCTAAAGTGGTACCTCAGGTTAAGAACAGTTTCAGGTTAAGAGACCTCAGGAACAAATTTAGTTCTTAACCAGAGGTACCACTGTACTTTGTTTGAGTGTACACATGCCATTACTTGCTGTCTTGCCTGCGAACAGCTCCTGAATGTATCCCCCTTATTTGAAATTACCCAGAGGTGCATGCATGTTCTTCTGGCTCTCAGCTGAGTCCCTGGATTATACTTTCTCTACCACTAACAAACTCTTTCTAACACGTCACTACAGAGATAAATATTAGGAAACTCACTTTGGGTGCAGTAGAGACCAGTCCATCCCGGTGTACATTTACACTCCCCATCATAGGCACTGCAGCGAGCTCCATTATGGCAGTTGCAGGTATGGATACAATTTGGGCCCCAATGGGAAGGAGGACAAGCTGAAACAATTAAAAAAAAAACACCCAGTTAGTCTTATTTGGCAAAACAATAACACGGCTCTATAGGACTTTGCTGCTTAGCCCAGGTCAACTACAGGTGTTTGTGAATATTATTCATCTTATAATTTCAAATCAGAACACAATTTACAAATGTGATTTCTCGGTTGAACTCGGGATTTTTATTATAGTTTTATAATGTTTACCCATCAGCTCTCTATGTGGATTTTGGTATTTACAGCAGCACAATATATACATTTAAATAGTGGCTATATTTAACCCTGCTGCAGTGTAAGGCTAATTTTCTTGTCTACAAAATTGTATTTATCTAATTCCATGCGTACAAATTATGGAGCAGGGGAAACAAGTAAAAAGCAGAAACATTTTCCCCTTTTTTCTGTTTAAGCCCCAAAATGTCATAGTGAATAAACTACAACTGGCTCAGCTTTATACACTAAGGTGTGCAACAACCACAAGGTTTTTTGGGGGCCCTCATCTGATGCTGCTGAAAAAAGCCCACTTCAGTCCAGGCTGGTTTGTAGACTGCCTGCTTCCATTTGGGATCCATTAGAGACTGCTTCTTTTGCCCTTTCACTACTGGGAAATTCAAAAACGGCTGTAACTATTTTTCCTTTTGACAGAAGTGGGTAATATTTGCAGGCATGTGAACTACTGCACAGTGAATAAAACCTGCTAAATTACAGGCAGATGGGTCCCAAGCCTTTTTTTATATGAACAAATACATTTAAAGTTTTTCTAGAAAAGGAAACACCAGTAACTTCTTAATTTTGGGGCAGAATTGGATGAAATGTGCATGCAAGGCAATCCCTTCTAAGGGTAGGATCCTGCCAAACTTCAAATGGATAGATACTGTGGTTTTCCTGCAAGGGTTGCAGTTATAGTTTTTTTATACATAAAAAACTCATATATATATATATATACACACTCTCTCTCTCTCTCTCTCTCTCTCTCTCTCTCTCTCTCTCTCTCTCACTTATATATATAAACACACATACACATGTCATCTCTATATGCCATATTGGAAAATGAAGCTCCTGACAAAATGGCAAAACATTTACTAGGTCCTGTGATTATTTTGCCTGAGCAGATATGCATCCAGATCTCTAGGTCTGGATCTTTATTAGGTAGCCATTGTTTTAAATTGGGGCTCTGTCTGCAAGCAATAACAGCCCTTCTGTCTTGTAATCAAGAAGTATTATTACCCAAGGTAAAAGATAAAGGAAAAGGACCCCTGGACAGTTAAGTCCAGTCAAAGGTGACTATGCGGTTGTGGAGCTCATCTTGCTTTAAGGCTGAGGGAGCCGGGGTTTGTCCACAGACAGCTTTCCAGGTCATGTGGCCAGCATGACTAAACCGCTTCTGGTGCAGCGGGACACCATGAGGGAAACCAGAGCGCACGGAAATGCTGTTTACCTTCCCGTAACAGCGGTACCTATTTATCTACTTATACTGGTATGCTTTCGAACTGCTAGACTGGCAGGAATGGGGACAGAGAAACGGGAGCTCACCCCATCATGCAGATTTGAACTGCCGACCTTCTGATCGGCAAGCCCAAGAGGCTCAGTAGTTTAGACCACAGCGCCACCCAAGACAGGCTTTGGGATAATACATTGGAATGGTTTCAGTTGGGAGCAGTACGTGACAACTGGTAATCTGGTAATTTTTCTTCTTGTGTTGTCACACTGTAAATTATTCCTAGGTACCAGTTTGATGCCAACCTCTCTCTCTTTCTCCCCTCTGCACCCCATTTTATTGGCTGAGTATTACTGCTATTGGCTGGGTACTGTTAAAATGTTATTTAAAGTTACCTGTTTGTGACCAGGCAATATTAATTATGAACAATATACCATAAAGGGAAGGGACTTATCATCTGAACCCTCAGATACACTGAACCACACCAGCAAAACAGATTATCAATGTGAATAACAGCCTTCATTGGAAGCCACTAATGAGGTGAGGATCACAGTTCTTTGCCTGGGGACTAATTTTTGTTTTCATCAGTTCACCAATCAATAAGTCTTTCCATGTCATAGCTTTTTATTTATAGAACAATCAAGACAACTGTACTGTTGTTAATGAGTTGCTATATAGCTGTACAACACCACCCTGATATTTCATGAGAGGGCAGTAAGCAAGTTAATAAAGAACCATTATGCACATTCAGATTTGATTTGTACAGATCTAAGGACTAATGCAGAGTAGGGTTATTTACAGCAAATATAGTTTGCTTGTGTGTCATTTGGGGTGGGCGAGTGTCCATGGCTCTCAGGCCCATTTTTTAAAATTTTAACTGGAAAAAATATAATAATTAATTTGTCAATTTGGTTCTAATTCTTCTAGGGGGAAAAGCTGGTGAACAGTTCAACAAGTAAGAACTGTTAAGTCACATACACAGAAATCTTTAAGAAGTCTTCCTAGAGGTCACACTGAAGTAACTTTAAGCTAATGGGATCATTACTTTCTGTAAGCCTTATAGTATAAGAACTAAAGGTCTTAATGGAAGTCAAATAAAAATTACCCTTTTCCTTGTCTAAAGGTCAGTCATGGTAAAGATTCCATTTCATTCTACTGGCATCTTTTTGTCATGCAGTATTTTTTTTCTATGCATAAAATGCCATTAATGCTTGGGGGGGGCATTCAATAGACTATTGGTAGAATCTATACAACTGACTGTGTTAGGAAGTCTGATTTCCCCCAAAAAAGTGATACTGCCATGCAAAAGTGATGTACTTTGAAGTACAAAAGGCTGAGATCTATTAGCAGTTTACACACGGCAATTTTGAGGGGGGGGGAATAAACAAAACTAAAAGTTATATTAATTTCAAAGAACCCCCTAAAAATAAATAAAATACTTGTACTTACGCTGAGAACAGTCACTACCAATCCAGCCAGGATAACATTGGCAAGATCTGTCAATTGGATTGCAGGTTCCATTGTTGGTGCATGTGCAAATTCCTGCACAATTCTTCCCAAATCTGCCACTGGGGCAGACTGTAAAAAGAAACCATAGAACTCATGAATATTCTGCACTTTTACAGTTCATTTAGACCAATAATAATAAAATTTTATTTTCCAATAGTTTTATTTAGCTTCAGAATGGGCTCTATACACAGTAAGATTTTTTTTTAAAAAAAATACAAAGCTACTGTCTGAAAAATATAACTTTGACTGTAAACAGGAAAAAAGGAGAAAACACTATTGTACTCAGTGTGGTATTACAGTATAGTGTATTATTTATTTCTTGAAAATCATGTACCGCTTGATTGTAAAAGCATCTCAAAGCAGTTTACGAAAAGAATTGTGATTTGTACCTTCATTGCAGAGAGCTCCTGTGAAACCAGGTAGACAGTCACACAAACCAGTCACATGGTGACATGGGCCACTGCTGTGAACACACTGGGGGCAGGCCTGGCTACAGCGATGACCATAAAATCCGGGAGAGCAAACTGAAAGCAGAAATACGTTCTCATATTCACCTTACATTGGTACATAACAAAGCCAAATCTAATACAGTTGATTTCCGTTCACTGCTGAAGTCATGAAAACATTTGAGAAATCAGATTTATGCAGGTCACCTGCTTCACAAAAGCAATCAAAAGCAATCGCCCTAGTGGCACGTTAACAAATCTACTACTTTAGTAACAGTTTAGAAGAACAACTTAGTATGCATTGTGGTTAATCTAAAACAATTATTGCTGTTGATACTGATGAATAATGACATATGTCTATAACAACAACTGCTGCTGCTATTAATATTTCAATGTAATGATTATACCATCACTCCCTGAGTTGTAGTCTACATGTTTTGACAGAATTGTATTGGTCATTGGGGACAGGGGTGGCGCTGTGGTCTAAAACACTGAGCCTCTGGGGCTTGCCAATCGGAAGGTACTGCTGCAGCAGGAAAACAAACAGCATCTCCGTGCACTCTGGTTTCCGTCACAGTGTTCCACTGCGCCAGAAGCAGTTTAGTCATGCTGGCCACATGACCTGGAAAGCTGTCTGCGGACAAACGCCTGCTCCCTTGGTCTGAAAGCGAGGCAAGCACCACAACCCCAGAGTCGCCTTTGACTGGACATAATTGTCTGTCAGGGAACTGCCATCGGAAGGATGGGAGGTGGAAAGGCTCACTGAGGTTGAGAGAGACGTAGCAGCTGAAGAGGGAACCAGTAGGGGGAGAGAAGGGACTCCAAGGGAAAGTGAGTCGGAGGGATGGCTCAGAGACACTTCCAGCGAAAACAGTGGGGAGGTCTCAAGACCTCCTATAGGGACACCCACTCCTCGCCGGAAACTGTCACGCCGAGAGTCCAGAAGACGTGTTTCCGTTAAGGAGCTTTTATGTTGGAAGAGATTCCGAAAGCGACCACTTTCGGATTCTGCTAGCGACTGACGCAGCCATGCCGGAGGGGCTCCGTCGCAGGCAGAGGTTTGAGAACTTGACCAAACTCTGAAGGACTTGCATTTTATGCACAAGCAGCTCATCATCCCATCACATTGTCCTTTACCTTTTTACCTATTGGTCATGGCTTGCCGCAAGTATGGTCAGGAAATAATAGGTTTGCTAAATTTAATCACAAGAACTTTGAGGCACTGGCAAGATAAGAGACAGCCTCCTAAATTAATCTCATGATTGGCCAGCTCAAGGTGAAGATGCAAGGTTCTTTTTTAGGTTCTGTGGACACAGAATGCCAAGCAACAGGGATGGGGCTTACTTGGGTGCCCCCTCAGCTCCTCTTTCACAGTAGGTGAAGAAGGACACAACTCAGCATATGAACTGAGCCGGGTCCCTTTGTCCTTGGTAGGGGCTGGGGGAGCAGTTGGTGCCTACTGTTTCCAGTTATACTGCTTGTATTTATGCACTGAATTTCATACCTGAAGGAGTGTCTCCACCCACATCGTTCTGGCCGGACACCGAGGTCCAGCCCCAAAGGCCTTCTTTGGGGTTACAGGGAACCAGGCAGAGGGCCTTCTTGGTAGTGTCACCCGCCCTGTGGAACGCCCTCCCATCAGATGTCAAGGAAATAAACAACTATCTGACTTTTAGAAGACACCTGAAGAAAAACGGTTTAGGGAAGTTTTTAATGGTTGATGTTTTATCGTGTTTTAAATATTCTGTTGGGAGCCGCCCAGAGTGGCTGGGGAAATCCAGCCAGATGGGCGGGGTATGTATAAATAAATAAATAAATAGGAGTTTGGATTTGATATCCCGCTTTATCACTACCCTGAGGAGTCTTAAGGCGGCTAACATTATCCTTTCCCTTCCTCCTCCACAACAGACACTCTGTGAGGTGAGTGGGGCTGAGAGACTTAGGAGAAGTGTGACTGGCCCAAGGTCACCCAGTAGCTGCATGTGGAGGAGCGGAGACGCGAACCCGGTTCCCCAGATTACGAATCTACCGCTCTTAACTGCTACACCACACTGGTGGTATTATTATTATTATTATTATTATTATTATTATTATTATTATTATCTCATTGCCGATTTGTTAATAATAAAGCTATGGCATCTCTTTAATTGCCTCATGTCTTTTTTCTGGTGGGGAGGCGGACAATTGTTGTTAATGATTATGATGAATATGGCACATGCAAACAACAACTTCAACAACATCATTATAGAATACTGAATCTTTATGCTATTATTTGTTATGATTATCATATGTGTAATATTTTTCCTCTCCAGCTGTACAGCGCTGAATTGATAGGAATATTTGCCTCTACACATTTGCTTCTACACATTTGCTTCTGCAATTGGTGCCTCCCACATGACACTCGCTACTCGTCTGTCGATTATTTCAACCCAACACTGAATCACTGTAACCTGGCAGTTCCTGACGTAGCACAAGTTTAAAGCTCTGTTTCCAGCTCAAGGGCAATCAAAGTGCAGACAACCATACACTGCTGCTTGCTTTTATTCAACTCAGGACTTTAAAAAACAAAGCAGTTCAATTCATTTTTATGCCAAATACACTAGCTCCTTCTTCTTCTTCACAGATACATCACCATTTGGATTGCTAGAGGAAGAAAGAAGCTGTTGGGGAGAATTTCTCTCTTTACTCCTTCAGCTTCTCCTGGAATTTCTTTCACTGGCAAATTAGTATATTAAGCAATGCTTCAAGTTAAGTGCCTGTTGTTAAGCAGCAATTAACATTTACAAAGCTAACTTTTGCCTTTAAATAATTTGAAGTCATTTAGAAGTCAGCATGCCCGCCTGAGGGCATGCTTGAAACGGGTTGGCTGATCAAAAAGGGAGCCCAGAGACCCTCATGTCTTTTCAATAAAGCAGTAGGCCAGTCCTATTATTTTCCTTCTTCTCCTTATAGTCCAAACTGGATTTGCGCAACTTAAGATACCTAAGCAGTCTTGAAAAGCCTGATTCTTTTAAATAGTCATTTTGGTAATGTAATGGGGAGAGTCACTGCTTTGCATTATTATGGTGATGATACAACATCATTACATCAGTGTCTTTATATTAGCTAAACAATTAACTTTAGAGCCATTATAGATGGTGAGAACTGCTCCTAGCCATGGAAATAATCCATCAAAGGAAGTCTGTAGCTTTAACAGAATACTTAACAGAATATTAAAAACACAATAAAACATCAACCATTAAAAACTTCCCTAAACAGGGCTGCCTTCAGATGACTTCTAAAAGTGTGATAGTTGTTTATTTCCTTGACATCTGATGGGAGGGCGTTCCACAGGGCAGGCACCACTACCAAGAAGGCCCCCTGCCTGATGAAATTCTTACATCCATTACTTTTCGCAGCATTAGGAGACAAGATATAAATCAGAGGTTGGGCATCCTTATCTGCCCCACCCACCCCAGGTCACATTTGGGGTAGGGGGGTCAATCACATGACATCACAATGACATCAAGTGAATCATTTTTGCAGAGCACCGTGCACAGAGCTTAGTAAGCCCTGTTGATTGCCCGTGCTTGCCGAGTGCTTTGCATAGGTGTTTGCACAGAACTTCACATGTGGTGACAATCAGCTGACTGGTGGCGCCTGAAAAACCACTTTTGCCCAAGCAGTGTCTTCACCTTCTCTATACCTAACATCACCAGGAGGAAAGGTAAAGGACCCCTGGATGGTTAAGTCCAGTCAAAGGCGATTATTGGGTTGCGGCATTCATCTCGCTTTCAGGCTGAGGGAACTGGTGTTTTTCCACAGGCAGCTTTCTGGGTCATGTGGCTAGCATGACTAAACCGCTTCTGGAGCAACAGAACACCATGATGGAAACCAGAGCACATGGAAATGCCATTTACCTTCCCGCCGCAGCGGTACCTATTTATCTACTTGCACTGGTGTGCTTTCGAACTGCTAGGTTGGCAGGAGCTGGGACAGCACAACGGGAGGTCACCACATTGTGGGGATTCAAACCGCTGACCTTCTGATCAGCAAGCCCAAGAGACTCGGTGGTTTAGACCACAGTGCCACCTGTGTCCCTTATCATCAGGAGTAGGACAGGTGGGTATGGCTTTGCCAAAATGGCCTTGCAGGCCAAATGTGGAGACTTGACAGGCAGGCCAAAGGTTCCCCTCACTGTTGTAAATTATCTTGGCAAAAATCAAGATTTGTATACGTAATTTGTTGTATTTTTGGTGTGTTTGTCCCTTAGCCCTCTTCCACATTTTTTTCAAGAAATAACCATTCTCTCAATGTGTCTGAATCTGTCCTACTTGTCTTCCAACTAAAACAAAGCCAAATATTATGGATCTGTGCTAAGGATGCCAAAAACCACTTCCTCATGAGTCAGCCAAATTGTACAGGAAGTCGCTGTGCTACTTCCAGCAGCTGCCAGGAGCATTCTACCTAGAACTATGGTTGAACCATATGGCAAACAGCTTAGAAATGTTTATAGCCCCAGCATGGGGTTGCTATCAAAGAGAGGTTTCTCTTCCACTAGCTTTTACGTGGGTGATACAATGTTTGGAACAGTCCTAACTTTTTTACACCCCCCCCCCCCAATTTTACAAAGGCGGTTGGCAATAGTATCTGTGACCCTATGCATTTTCCACAGCATCAGACGCCAGTCTTGTTGGATGTTGGGTAGTTGGATAGATAATATGCAAAATTACAAATTAAACAATAGTAACAAGATTACTGCCACAGCAAATTTTATTAGTAACAGTGAAAGTGCATATTGTGATAATTACAGAAAATTGTAGTACTTAGCACTGGGTTCCATTTAGAGTAAGGTAAAAAAAAGGTAAATGACCCCTGGGCGGTTAAGTTCAGTCAAAGGCGACGATGGGGTGCGGCGCTTGTTAAGTCGTGGGTTGACATAGCAGCCGGCACAGCGATTTCTTCAAGTAGCTCTTTATTATGGAAAGCTGGAATACAACTGACTGCGACAGCTCAGCCGGCCTGTATTTATAGGCAGCCGGCTGTCAACATTGTAACCACAACAGCCCAGAGTTCCCGCCTAAAATAACTGCCGCGGA